ACACACACACACACACACACACACACACACACACACACACACACACAAATATGTATGGCACATTAATTATGCACGCGTGCAGTGGTGCAGAATTCCCCCAGAAGTAGAATACACATTCCTGTAGTTTCCTTGAAAAAGTTTATAAAAATTAAAATATGTTCCCGATCAGTGGCTTAACTCCCCCTCCACCCTTCCCCCAAAGCAAAAGAATTCAGACTCCTCAGAGAGAGTGATTTGGAGCAATTGCACCTGAGAAATTAGGCTCTCTGATATGCTAAACATGGCTTTGTTCACCAAACAACAGCTGGCATTTACAATAACAATAGGTACTTTTATGTCTAATGGCTACAATGAAGCAATTAATGACAGGAAGAAGTGAGAAGGAGGAGAAATAAATTAACGTGTGCCAGTTTAGGCATCTTTGACTTGACACTTCATCCAGAATAGGCAAGGACGCTTATCACACCCTGAGCAGAGACAAAGACAATAAAACATCTGCATGCTGTTCCATGCAGCTGGTACATGTCAGCTGACTCCGACTGCAGGGTCATAAAATTGCAGTGGAGATCTATGGCTCGGACTGAAGCCCCACGGGGTCCTACACCCCAGGCTCCAGCCTGAGCCTGAACATTTACACTGCAATTTTATAGCTCCGCAGCCCGAGTTTCAGGATTAGAGTCTTTCTACTGGTATAACTATTTCAGTTCAGGTGTGGCCTTCCCCTCCACCCCCAAATAGTTATAATGGGTCAACCCTAATGTGGATGCAGTTACACTGATATAAAGATGCATTTTACTAGTGTAGTCTATTCTCCTTCTCATCTGGGAATAAGCTATACTAGTGTAAGTACTATGATATCAGTATAACTTTGTCCACAGTAGAATGGGTTGTACAGCTTTAACTCTGCTGGTGTAGTTAAAGTGATATTGTTGTGTGGAGACAAGGCTAAAATTCCTAACCTGGCAAGGAGATATCAGATGTAACTGGGTAAAGTGTCTGTGTTTTGGGAAGAGGGAGGGTGGAGCAAGCAACCTAAGGAAACTGGTTCTGTCTCTGCTGGCAAAATTTGTCATACACATTCTCCTCAGAAAATTGTCCCTCCTGTATGTGATCTGTGAGCACAGTCATTTAGCATCTGAATGTTTTCATTAAATGCAGAGGTGCTCAGGTATAAGTGTCCCTGCTGTTTAATTGCCCATTGGTCTTCCATGGTTAATTGTTAGCTTAGGTAAATTTTGTTGTCCACAATTCCTTTTTCGGCATGAAGAAGTGTGACTAGAGTGTTTATACCTTCTGATAGATTGTTTTTAAATTGTTTCTTCTTTTTCAGCACTTCAACAAGCTCCCAGTCTATAATATACATACCACAGGACATTATTAGAGCAAAGGAGATTATTGCACAAATCAACACCCTGAAAACTCAAGTCAGTTACTATGCCGAAAGGCTCTCGAGAGCTGCCAAGGATAGATCAGCTAATGGCCTTGAAAGATCACTTGCCATTTTGGCAGATAAGGTATGAGAACAACAAAACAAAATTATTGATAAAAGTGAAGTGAGACACATTCTGAAGCACCCCTTTTTTGTGAGCTCCCTGAAAAATCCCAAAATGGTCTCTCTTGTGGCCCCACTCAGCTGCAATTGGAAGATAAATCCAGATGGGATTTTTGAATTTGCCACCATTTATTCAGGTTTTCCTCTTCTCTTCCACTCACTCTTGCTTCCACCTCCTATGGATGGAGTGGTGAGGACTGAGAAAGAAGACTGATACCTATTGGCTTCCTTTCCCAAGTTTAAAGTATCACCTCCGCCACGTGTCCAGTCACAACATCCCAGAGAAGAAAATCCTAAATTCACTTTCATACGTGTCTCTCTATAACCACTGACTGGTTTGTTGAGCTCATTTCTGAATAAGCTATCGTGCAACAGGAACTTGAAGAAACCGGAACACCACAAGGAGTCTTCGTTATCATTTCATTTGTATAATAATGACATGAACTTGGGGCAAATTGTAGTGATGCTGTTCAATTAATACTTGACTCCTGTAGCCTGATCTATAGATTATGAATAAAAATCCCCAATTATCACTTTGAGGGTTGACAAGTTCTTGTCCCAAGATCAGGCCCGGTATTATTTAAATTATTTTATAGTTGGGAACCCCTATGTGCACAGGTGCAACACTCACACTATAGGAGCTCTTTTATATTTACAAATAAATAATTTATTATTACATTTAGCAAAGTCAAAGACACTCTAACTCAGTAAGGTAGATAGAGATAATATAGAAAGTACAACTGAACATCCATACTCTCACCATCCCTTGCAGAACAACCTGAAATGTTAGCCATTGTCTTCCTCGTCACCTTCCTCATCTTCATCAGTGGCCATCATTCTGGCCCCTCCCCAGGGCTACATCTCTCTACCCCTACTGCCCTGGGATGCCACTTTTGTGATATGTTACGCTGACGTTACCATGTCTAATGCATATTCAGTAGGGGTTTCTCCCCTCTTCCTTCTTTGTATTCCCTCCCCTTACCAATGTTAAGGTGTCCTTCTTCTATAGGTCAGTGTATTTATGATTTCGCCCCATTATCATATACGTCAATTCATTGTCATGGCACTCTTGCGGTTGGATGTTCCGACCAGAAGCTGGTATCAGTTCATGTTCTATGGTTGGCTGATGTCATTATGGATAAGATTCCCCCCCCCCCCCCACACACACACACTCTATTTCCAATTCTCCAAAACTTATGAGTTACTTAAGTTTATCTATGCCAAAGGTCATAGGCCTCAAGCCTCATGCTAACTGCTGAAGCCATTGACTTACAAGATACAAGCCTGTAGGTTCCTTGCATTACTGCTGAATATAATAAAGCAGAATATAATGCAAAGCAGTGACTATAATAGAGATAAGCTGGCCCACTGGGCTACACTCCACTCAATAAAAATGGACTGAACGGGCAATCAGAATGAAACTTATTTACAAGGACAAGAACAAATGCAGTTTTAGAGTTCTTTTGTTGTAGTATTCTGAGTTCTAAGAAAGCATAGCTAATAAATAAGCAGTACCCTATGACAGAGAATGCATTTGACAGTGAGTTTACTGTATACCCACTTGGGGTGCCTGTATACTTTCCCATAATGGAAGAACGTATGATGAAATTAAAGTTAAAAATATACAGAAGAAAATACTTGTACATAGTGTATATCTGACCTGTGGATTCTCTGCTGCGGGATATTGTTAAGGCACATAGTTTAGTAAGCTTTTTTTAAAGTGGGTGAATAAGAATAGTATCTGAAGTTATGTTATCTAGGAGAAAGGCAGGTCAGCAATCCTCATGCTTCAGGGCTTACGTACATCATTTGCCAGAATAAGGAAGAAATTCCCCCCAGGGTACAGTATTGCACAGTGAGGTGGATGTTTCATGCCTTCTTCTGAAGCATGTATCATTAGCCGCCGACTGAGACGGGATATTAAACTAAATGGAACATTGCCATACCAGAGGAGACCAATTTCTGTGGACTGTATGAAGGTGCCTGAGTTTTTTTTTTTTTTTAAAAGACTATTTCACTTAACAGAAAATGAAGTGCTGGCTCTAGGTAGAGGCACTAGGAACTGTAGATATTTGTTAAATTTTCAGCATGTGTAGTCCTAAAATGTCAGTACACATTTTTGAAAATTACACTTCACATTTTTGCTTCCTATACGTCCTTTTAAGTCCCTGCTGCAAAATGAGGGGTTTTTTTTTTTAATGAAAAAATAAGAATGTAGATAAGGATTTAAAAGTGAAAATGCTTTCAAATTCTGTTTTCTATTGTTTTTAGACGCGGCAGCTTGTCACTGTCTGTGATTGCAAGTTATTGGCAAATTCAATACATGGATTAAATGCTGCAAGGCCAGATTATATAGCCTCAAAGGCATCTCCAACCGCTGGAGAGGGGGAACAAGTGATGCTAAGGAATGATCAAGACACTCTTGTGGCAAGATGGACAGGAAGAAATAGCCGATCTTCTCTGCAGGTGGATTGGCATGAAGAGGAATGGGTAGGTTTGCTGAATGGAGGGATGAGGCCTGCTGATGTCATCTCCTTTTTCCCCTTTCAGTATCCCTTTATTCCCTAGCCCTATGCCCCTTAGCATGTAGCTACTAGCCACCGGACACCGATATCTACAAGTCTTATTTTGGAGCACAACACTGCATGTGTTAGGTCTGGTCTACACTTAAAATGTAGGCTGACGTAGCTATGGCACTCAGGGGTGTTAAAAATCCACATCCCATGTGCCATAGCTATGCCAACCTATATTTTAAGTGTAGACGCAATTAGGTTGATGAAAGAATGCTTCTCTCGACCTAGTTACTGTAGCTTAGGGAGGTGGGGTTCTGACAGCAATGGAATAATTCCTTCCATCACTATAAACTGCATCTACACTACGGGGTATGGTGCCTTAGCAATGCCACTGTAGTCCTCATAGGTAGACATGTTTTTAGTTATCCAAAGGGGTTGCTGATAAGTATCTTGAAATGTTCCTTTCATCCTCTCTCTGTCTGCCCTTTGATCAGCAGGAGCAGAAGCAGGCACTGAAAAATTAGTCTGAGTCTATTGCATAATAGCAGAGTCAGATCAGGTCTACATTGCAGATCTATGTTGGTTTAACTATGTTGCTTAGGGATGTGAAATATCAACACCCCTGAGCAACTGAGTTATACCGATCTAACACCCACACTCCCCCCTCCTCCTCTCCCCCCCCCCACCCCGTGTAGACAGTGCTATGTCAATGTCTTCTCACGTCGACACAGCTACTGCCTCTCGGGGAGGTGGATTAACTACGGTGACAGGAGAACTCTCTCCCATCGGTGTAGGAGCATCTTCACTTAAGCGCTACAGTGACGCAGCTGCATCAATGCAGCATTTTAGGTACAGACCTGCCCTCAGTCACTTGGGCCACCTGGCTGTCCTGCAGTCAGTTCTATACTGAGAGTTAATTGAGTATTCTTTTTAATGAAACAACTAAGAAACATTGTGCAGGGTGTCCCTTTATCAATCTCCATACACAGCCAAAAAAGAAGAAAACATAAAAAATAGAACTCTTGCAATATACTCTTAGATATTAGTTATGAAAAACAGCTTTTCAAAGGCTTTCCTGGTTTTTTAATCTAAATATTTAAGTGAGGTGTCTGTTTCTGTTTTAATTATGAGCTGCCTTTTAAAACAGGTCAAACCAAGAATTAAATGACTTTCCATCTAATGTTGCCAATTTAAATGAGAATTGAGCTGTCCTAACAGTGTAGTGTAGTAGAAAGTGAAACGGAAGTGAATGCAATCTTTGTTAAAACTGTTGAAATTGATTAGAATAGTGGTTAACCCTATGAAATACAGGAGGAAAAGAAATAATGTCAAACTACATTTCAGAGCTACCTCCAAAATAGACTCTCATAGGGTTGATCCCTTCAGTGGCCTTCAAATGAAGCCCATAAAGTTCATTAGGTTACTAATATTGCACTACTTATTGGTTTACTCAGTTAAGTGTATATTGGATACAAGACACATCATATAACAATGATGTAAACTTTTCCTTCTGTATCTGATGGCTTATTGATTTTATATTCTGCTATAATAGTATGTATGGGAAATTATGGGTGTGTACCACAGTATCGTGTATTTTTATATTCACATATGTACTGTGTGTGTGTGTGTGTGTATAGACACACCAGCTACATATAAAAATACATGGTACTGTGGTATAAGGGTTTTATCAGGATGAGTTTGGAATGGCCACATTACTCATAAGTGAGTTATACAGGCCATCCCAAATGAATGCCAATAAAATCTTTATACCACAGCCTCTGTTACAGGAAAATCTTGTAGGAATGTCTTAGTTTTAAAATTTGTTATTGGAACTATTTTTGTACCCCTTCAGCTGTAAATTCAGATACCTTAGTTACTTTGGCTAACTTTTTTAGAAGTAGCCTGTGACTTTGGAAGTCTCAGTTTCTGGGTGCCAGGCTTAGGAGACCTAGAGGCTGATTTTTCAAATTACTGATTACCCACAATCCCATTGACTTCAGCTGAGGTTGCAGATGTGTGTTCTGGACTTCTGAAAACCAGGCCTAAGGGGTCTCAATTCGGGCATCAAAATTAGAGGCCACTTTTGAAAATTGTAGCCAATGAGTCAAACTATGCAGGGTTCAAAAGGGAGACACCAAAAAACCCTCTAAAATGAACTAAAATAGTCTTTCTGTACCTAAAAATAGCAAGGCTTTAAAGTAAGCTCTCTCTAGCCATTTTAAAGCTAGAAGTGAGTGATGGGTCCCATTGGGAAGCTGGGGACTTCCCTTTCCGGTGGTACTAAGTTCCATTTCTAGTTATGTAAGAACACAGGCACTGGAATTTAAAGTAACAATTTTTTAGGGATCGAAAAGCTGTCACTGGCCCAGGACTAAACTTTATCCACTCTGGACCTCAGGCAGGTGTAACTTTTGAGAAGAAAATTCCACATTTGGCTGAAGGAGGAAGAAACATTTTCCCTGTTAGGTTGATGGTTTAAAAAAAAAAGTGCATTTGAAGTTGAAATAATACCTGGGGAGATGGATTAGTGGGCAGATGGCTTAAGAGAGTCAGAATTGTATGACAAATTTATCACACAGCTCTGCAGCTTACCATTTGGATGTCACTTTAACTTATATAGATACATATGGAGTATGTATGTATAAATGCAATGGCAAAGTGCAAACTTTCCTAAGCAATTGTGTCTAGAACCACAGCGGGCAAAGTATCTCTTTTTTGCAAATGTACTTGTCATCTAATGTTGGGATCTTCATAATTTAAAAGGGGATGTTTTTCTTTCAAGGAAAAAGTTTGGTTGAATGTTGACAAAAGTCTGGAGTGCATTATTCAGAGAGTGGACAAACTTCTCCAGAAAGAGCGTTTGCACAGTGATAGCTGTGAAGATGTTTTCCAGTGTGACATCAGCTGTACTAGTAAGAAAGGTAATCGGGATACTCGTGCCTACTGGATAAATCCAAAAGGCTTAGATGAGACCTCATCCTCACCACCATCATCCTCACCACCATCTTCAACCATATCATCCTCTGCATGCCATTCTCACAGAAACACAAGTGCGTATGACAGACCCTGCTTTGCTGTATGTTGGCATATTTCTCAAACCTTTTAATTCATCTTTATGTCAAATTCTACATTTTTTAAATAGACAAGATACCAGACAAAGGGGCCTGGGTGAGTTTGGAGTTGCTAACCTCTGAAGTGAAATTCTGGCCCCACTGAAATCAACGGCAAAACTCCCATTGACTCCAGTGGGATCAGGATTTCACCCTTGGTGTTTTGAGAGCTGAGGTTCCAGATTTCAGATGAATAGAATGAATCTGGAAAGCATCATAGCCTGATATACTCCGCATATAGGTCAGGCCGTGACAGTTATGCCAATATCTCATTATTTTTTCTCTTGGCATCAGCTTGTCTGCTGCCTCAGGGCTATTCCAGAATACCTTTTAAAAGATAAAATAAAACAAGAAAGTGGCCCATGCACTAATACAACGCTGATGAACAGAGCTGAGCTCCCAGAGTGTGATGCCAAATGAGAGTGCAGGAAAGGTAGAAGGGAAGTACTGCTGGGTGAGGGGTTCCAGAAGAGTGAGCTAAGAACAGACGGGTGCATTGGGTTTTTAAGATGTGTATGATATTTATCCTCATACTGATCTGCTCATCAAGTGAATGAGTATCTCTCAGGTGAATGAGGTGACCTGGTGATGACTGAGGATAACATGCTCTTGTTCCTACTATTTATTTATGAAGGGTAGCAGCGTGTAGTAGACTGAGCACTTGACTAGGAGCCAGGAACTCCTGAATTCTACATCTGGCTCTGCTGCTGATTTGCTGTATGGCCTTGGGCAGGTCACCTATGCTTATTTTTTCAAGTCTGGGTGCCTTAAAGTGAGGCAGTTAAATCTGTACTTAGGTACCTAAGTCAAAGTGATCTGAATTTCAGATGTGCCAAAATTGTAGTTCCCATTGAAGTCAATGAGAATTTGAAAATCAAGCTACTTTGACCTACATAGCTAAATATGCATTTAGGTGCCTACATACAGGCACCTTTGTTGGAACATTTTGGCTGTAATCTCTTCAGGTGTCGTGTCAGTTCACCCATCTGTAAAATGGCAGAATAGGCAAAATGCTTTCAGGGCCCTGGGGGCGGGGAAAGGGCAAAGCACACTTACTAGTGGCCTCTGCAACGCGTTTTGAAAATGTGTAGTGTGCGCTCCCTCTCACCTTTCCACTAGTGCAGTGTTTCCCAAACTTAGGACGCCGCTTGTGTAAGGAAAGCCCCTGGCAGGCCAGGCCGGTTTGTTTACCTGCTGCGTCCGCAGGTTTGGCCGATCGCAGTTCCCACTGGCCGTGGTTCGCTGATCCAGGCCAATGGGAGCTGCTGAAAGCGGCGCGGGCCGAGGGACGTACTGGCCACCGCTTCCAGCAGCTCCCATTGGCCTGGAGCGGCAAACCGCGGCCAGTAGGAGCCGTGATCGGCCGGACCTGCGGACGCGGCAGGTAAACAAACCAGCCTGGCCTGCCAGGGGCTTTCCTTACACAAGCGGCATCCCAAGTTTGGGAAACACTGCACTAGTGCAATTCTCCAGGCACCCTCTACCCCAACAGACTTACTGGCCAGTCGGGGCTGTCAGTAGTGCTAGTAGTACCCCTGCTGCACTCCAGTTGATGGTTTTGTCCCGTTAGGAATCATGAGGGAAGGAGGGGCTCCTGGCAAGTTTTTCCCCTTCGTCACCAATGTGATTGTCTGGGACAGTTATAATATAGGGCCCAATCAAACTGCCTTTTCAGTGAGTTAAATGGCAGTTGAATCAGCCTTAAGGTGTAACTGTGAACTTCTCTGTATATTAGCATGTATAAACTGACTGAAAATAATGCATTCAGCTATTTAAAAGTTACTGTTGGTTTGCATGGAAAGGTTGCCTTAAAATTGGCTCAAGCATTTAAGCAAAGTTATGGTAATATGTGGTATCAAAATAATCAATCAGTCGGATTGTATAGTACAAGCATAAAATGTAGGAAAGAAAAGATCATTCTAGTCTATTCTCCTGCTAGTTCAGCTGTAAACTAAATAACACTATCAAAACTATAGGTTCAAATGGTGCCAAATATATTGTAAATAAATAATGCCTTAAGCATGTGAGGGAGAGAAATTCTTAAACTAATCCTACTTTGAAGCTCCATTTTAGGTTTACAAATTTTCTACCCTTGCAAGTTTTCATGATAATCATTTTCATAGAACAGATCAAGCAGTGGTTAGTCTTAGAAAAGGTCATTTGGGTTTTGAACATTTCCATGTTTCATACTCTGTGGTATTTCATGCCTCTTCCTTCCACTATTTTTGCATGCCTGTGACTTCATGTTCATTCCACTATTAATATTTTAGCACAGTAAGAGATGTTAATTTTTAATACAAAAGTTGTTTAGTTTTTAAGTTAACTTTTTAACAGCATATGGTATACAATTGAATGTCTGTTGCATATGATTTGCTGAATGTTCTAAATTGCTGGATTTTTTCCCGAGAATATCCTATATTTCTGGGTATTTTATATCAATAAGCTATCATATTAGAATTGTTTGAGTATTTTCTTTCTGCTTCAGTTATTTGAGCACCAGAACAACAATTACATAAGCTGATATTTGCTTAAATAATATATATGAAGGGAACATGTTGAATGTATATGCCATTAAGATCTATGGATCCAATGTAATTTGTAAATATAACTAAAACAAACTTAGTAGAGAAGACTACTTAGTAGACCTCTCACACTGATTGCTTTATAGCACACAGGAGCTGGAAGGTGGACTCCTTTAACTTATTGATCATATATGTTAAATAGAGAGCATTTTAGTAAAATGTATTGCTCTGTTTTAGAGTGATCTGGTAACAAATGTGTGTGGCAATATATTCTGTTTGTTCACTCATTGAACCTTTCCTGGCCACTTATTGGTTGAAAACAGTAACATGATGAATCAATAAATTTCAATGTACACACTTGTGCTCAACTCATTAGGTGTCTCATGTTAATAGTGAACAACTTCAGTGTTAACATTCAGAGTACTGAAACCTGAAGTTTTCCAAAACACGTTTTGGATTTTTTATTAAAAGAACTAGAGAGAAGCTGGTGTAGCTGTGGGTGGAATGTGGTCAGAAGTCATGGCCATGCAGGCAGATTTATGTCAAAACTGTTTTAGAACAGCCCTTTTCTTTAAAACTGTGCCTACAGCTTTTAATATTGCTTCACCCACTTCTACTCTGGATCTTAACATTCATTTCATATGAAAATGATATTAGATGCATCTCCCTACCTACTGTTTTGTGCAGCAGAAAATATCTGTAGCCATCTGGAACTCTACCCCCATCCTCACCCCAAAACCAAAACAACCTCCTTCCTACAACCTGCTCACTTAAACCACACCATCATGAATAGCTGAAGTAAATATGCCCTGAAGGTGCATGAATTGGGGCGCTATTAGACGAGGGAGTACAGCAAGTTCCAGAGTTGTGGGCGCTCTGCCAGGAATGCCCTGCTCCTGTCTCCCGGTTGTACAAATCTGTCAATCTGAGTGTTGATCCCAGCTATAAGATTGTGAGGAGAGAAGCCGTTTCTGAAGTAGCCTGGACCCCAGCTGTTCCATAGGTCAAATCCAACTACTTGAATTGTACCAGAAATGAATTGGAAGCCACTGCAAATAACGTGCCTGACAGCACTTTGTAAACAACACTATGTCAATGGGAGGGCTTTGCCCATCGACATAGATACCTCCTCTCAGGGAGGTGGATTAACTACGCTGACAGGAGAAACTCTCCCTTTGGCATAGGAGCCTCTTCACATACAGAACTACAGTAGTGCTGTATGTGAAGACAAGCCCTCAGAAGCATCACATTTCCTTGACTGACATGCATCAGAATAGAAATACCCTCCTTTCTATAAGTACTTGTGTGGGAAACATTTAATTTATTTAACCATGACCATTGGCTAGAGATTAATAATAATTTGGGATTAAAGAAACCAACCCCCCCCCCCCCCCAACAGTTCTAAATTTGGTGAAAGTGGCATAGTAAAGCGCTGTTGAACGTATTTTCCATGCTTATTCTAAGGGTGAATTGTTGTGAAGGGAAACATTGTCTGAAACGTGAAAGGGGAGACGTATCCAGAAAGCTGAAGAAATATTTTAGAAATAAAATGTTGCAATAGACTCAGATATTCGCTTTAAAAACTGATTTTTTTGCTATGCTAAAATCTTTACTGAATGTTATGCAGGTTTTATTTATCCAAAGTAGTTCTTCTTCGTGTGATTGCTCATGTGTATTCCACAATAGATGTGTGTGTTCGCCACGTGCACCAGTGCCGGAAGTTTTTCCCCTAGCAGTACCCATAGGGGAGCGCCCCAGTGACCCCTGGAGTGGCGCCTCCATCGTGCGGTGTAAGGGGAGCTGCGCGCTCCCCCCACCCTCGGTTCCTTCTTGCCGCCAGTGAAGGTGCTTCGGAACTGCTCTGCTCTAGCTTTGCTGTAGGTCGTTTACCCAAAACTGCTTGTTCGTTCAGTGTATGGTACCTGTAATCAGTTAATTGTTTAGTTAGTTTAGTTTAGCTTAGCTAGAGCACCTTGGCTGGGGCATGCCCCGTGCTCCGGGTTTTAAGTCGTGCGACACTTGTAGGCGTTCTATGCCACTAAGTGATCCACACGTGGACTGTCTACGCTGTTTGGGGGAAACCCATCTCAGCGATCGCTGCAAGATTTGCAAGTCGTTTAAACCTCGGACCAAGAGAGAAAGGGACATTAGGCTCCAGGCTATTCTGATGGAGTTGGCGCTGACCCCAGCTCCAGCACGCTGCTCCAAGTCGGCACCGGGCACTGCGGTGTCAGTGCGTGGCAACCCTTCGGCGCCATTGACTAGTCGGCACTGCTCCCCGTCCACGGGGCATGCCAAGAAGGCTGGAAAGAGGCCTTCTTCGCCGCAGCACCGGAGTAAACCGGGACAGAAGCTAGACCCATGTCGAGCAGTCCTTGATCCCCACTGGCCACTAGACCTCCGACTCAAGTCGAGCGG